AGCCCCCCGGCCCCCAAAAAAAAAAAAACCCCAAAAAAAAAAAAAAAAAAAAAAAAAAAGGGAGCCTTATCCTACACAGCTGACCATGCAATTTGAATCCAAGCCCCAGTGGTTAAAAAAAACACACTGGACATGTGTGCATTTGCGTGCTCAAAATCCCAATGGGATGGAGAAACGATTACAATCCCTTCTCTCCATTTGAGAAGGGACTGCAACATGGCCATGCCCCATTGTGAGGTGCTTTCTCCTTTTCCCTCTGTCTGTCTCTCTCTAGTGAGCACATGAAAAATAAAAAAGTAAAAGCATTTTTTTCCTCAGTTTTGCCAGAGAGTGCATATGCTTGCTGGAAAGAGACAGAGAAAGAGAGAGAGACAGAAGGAAAGCAAGAAATTACCCTCCATGGGGCATGGTCGCACTGCAACCCCTTCTCCACATCTCCTTCCTGTCAGAAATGTTAATCTTTTATTTGCATGAAATCTTTTTTTTTGTTTGTTTATGCCTTCTGTGTGCTTGCCAGAGGGAGAGAAAGAGTCAGAGACAGTGAGAGGGAAAGTGAAAAATCACCCCCCGGGGGGATGGTCAAGCCGCTATCCCTTCTCTTTCATTCTCCTTCCAGGATCTTAGGCATGCACACAAACGTGGCTAGCACTGAATTTCAAGCCACGGGTTCTGGGACTCAACTGCCATCAACCATGTGGGAGTCCAGCAACGTAACCACTTCATCATTTGCTGGCCCTTGCATGAAATCTTTAGAGAACAATATCTACATTTTTCTTGTGCTTTGACTAGTGCTAAGTATTAGTATAGGCACTTCAATAAAACTTAATGACATTTCCAAAATACACATTTTACAAAATTCTGCTTTTTTCCTTCTTACAATAGTACATAAGTAGGCTATCCAAAATGGGAAGATAAATTTTCATGCAGTTTCTTACAGTGTGTAATTGTTTCTTCTATTTCCCAAAAACTAGACTATCAATTTTAAATTAAATTTTGTTTTTATTTAAAAAGTTTTAGAAAAATTCTGGCAGTTTAATTAGGCTTAAAAACAATCATGTCAAGGCCAGTAGATGGTGTAGTGGTACCTTGCTGGACTCCCACATGGCCTACCACGGTTCAAGTCCTAGACCTGGTGGCTTAAAACTCACAATGGGTGAGGATGCATGTGTGCGCAAGTTCCCAGGAGAAGAACAGAGGAGAAGGAGATGTGGCCTGGCCAACCCCACCATGGGGTGATGGTTTGCTTTCTGTCTTTCTGTCTCTCTGGTGAGCACATGTGCATAACGGTTACATTGCTGGATTCCCAAGTTGTTGACCATGGTTCGAGTCCCAGACCCAGTAACTTAAAACTCACACCAGGAGTGTGTACATGCCCAAAATCCTGAGGTGAGAATGGAGAAGGATTGTGGCGTGGCCATCCCTCCTGGGGAGTGATTTCTCACTTTCTGTCTCTCTGTTTCTCTGGCAAGCACACACACCCTATAACAAAAGTCTCACTCTGAAAAAAAACAAAAACAAAAACAAAACAAACAAATAAACAAACAAACAAAAAAAAACATGGAATTTAGGAACCATCAGATGACATAATGGTTACATCGCTGGACTTCCATGGAGTCCCAGACCTGGCAGCTTAAAACTCATGTCAAGCTTATGGGCATGTGTGCCCAAGATCCCAAGAGGAGAATGGAGGTAATGGGAATGCACTGTGGTCACCCCCCCCTAGGGGGGTGATTTCTTACTTTCTGTCTCTGTCTTCCTCTATCTCTCTGGGGAGTGCAAGTACCCTACAGCAAAAATCTCTCAAAAAAAAAGGAATTCAAAACAAGACAGGATTATACAGTACTGATGGTATCCTCTGTACTTTTCATTTTTTTTTTTTAATTAAAAAACATATTTTTAGCTGGGACCAGCAGATGTTATAATGGTTACATCACTAGACTCCCACGTAGTCGACCATGGTTCAAATCCCAGATCTGGCAGCTTAAAACTCATGCCAGGGGGCGGGGGCGAGGGGCAGGGTGGCTGGTGGTTAAGGTGGCTGGACTCCCACCTGGATGAATGTGGTTCAAGTCCTGGACCTAGCAGCTTGCTTTCTTACTTTCCTTCTCTCTCTGGTCAACTTCAATAAAATAAAATAATGGCAATGAGTAAAATTAAATAAAATAATTCTAAGAAAAAAAAAATCATGCCAGGTAGACGTGCACGCATGCCTAAGATCCCAAGATGGGAATGGAAGAGAAGGCACTGGGGTGTGGCCATCCCCATGTCTCTCTGTCTCTCTCTATGGAGCACATGTGCCCTATAGCAAAATCTCTCCCTAAAAAAAACCTTTTTTTTGTTTGTTTTTCTTTTTAGGTTTTTGCTATAGGGCAGATGACCTCTCTGGAGAGAGATAGAAGCAAAGTAAGAAGTCACTCCCCACAGGAGGGATGATCATGTCACAATCCCTTCATTTCCATTCTCCTCTTGGGATTCTGGGCACATGCATTCATGCACACATGCACACACACACTCACAGTCAGAGTGATTTTCAAGACACTAGGCCCAGGAACAGAGCCATTATACAGGAGTGCAGAGCTTTAACCGCCACGTGACCTGCTGGCCCCTCACTATTATTTTTAATTTTAAAGACTTGAATTTAATATATAAAGATCACTGTAGTTACTTCAATTTCAAAATGCTAGCAAGAGCAAATTAAACCTTAAAAATACATTTCAGGAAAGTAGACTTGAAGAATTTTGCCTTACCATTGTGCACGTAAGTAAGTCTCCTTTCTTCTCTGGTTACAATGTTGGACACCCAAATGTCATTGCTGTGTATGAAAGCAATCCAGTCTGGATCGGCAGGACACAATTTTGGATCCATCCGTATGTTGGGACAACTAGTTTCTACTAAATTGGGCCGTAAAGGTTGTTGCTTTAAAAGTAAACGACATTTCAAGGTAAGTACCAGACTAATACATACATATTTGTTTGCCAACACTTTACTATAAAATGAACAATATTTCTAAGAAAATGTCAACTGTGATAATTGTCCCTATCAACTGCCTTGACTTATAAGAAAGGTCTCATTTCTTTTTACTATAAATGAAAAAGCTAAGGACAACAGAAAAGGAAGAAAAAATAATATTAACGGTATTTCATAAATTTCATTGCCCTCACTTGCTTATAGGATAATGATTGTTTAACATTTTTAATAAATACTTATTTACTGAACATTTTATTTACTAAATATTGCTTTTTTATTTACTTATTTTGTTTTTTAAGAGAGATTTTTGCTATAGGGCACATGCACTCACCAGAGAGACAGAGACAGAAAGCGAGAAATCACCCCATGGGGGAATGGCCATGCCACAATCCTTTCTCCTCCATTCTGCTCTTGGGATCTTGGGCATGCATGCACATGTGCGTGGCATGTTTTAAGCCACCAGGTCTGCGACTTAAACCACAGTCAACTATGTAGGAGTCCTATGACATAACCATTACGCCATCTGCTGGTCCCTTTACTCAATATTTAAAAATCAATTTTACAGGACCAGCAGTTGGCATAACGGTTATGTTGCTGGACTCCCATGTAGTCGACCATGGTTCAAGTCCTGGACCCAGTGGCTTAAACTCACGCTGGGCACATGTGTGTGTGTGCCCAAGATCCCGAGAGGAGAATGGAGGAGAAGGTATTGTAGCGTGGCCATCCCCCACAAGGGGGGTTATTTTTCACTTTCTGTCTCTCTCTCTCTCTCTCTCTCTGTGTCTTTCTGGCGAGTGCACGCGCCCTATAGCAAAAACCTCTCCATAAAAATAAATTAAAAAAAAAAATCAGTTTTACCAATATATAAGTTTGCTCATAAAAATGTAATGAAAGCTGGGACCAGCAGTTAGCATAATGGCTATGTCGCTAGACTCCCACGTAGTCGACCGCGGTTTGTGTCCCGGACCCGGTGGCTTAAACTCACGCCGGGCATGTGTGCGTGCGTGCCTAAGATCCCGAAAGGAGAATGAAGGAGAAGGGACTGCGGCGTGGCCATCCCCCCTGGGGGGTGATTTCTCGCTTTCTGTCTCTCTGTCTCTGTCTGTCTAGTGAGCGAACACACCCTATAGCAAAATCCTCTACGAAAAAATAAATGTAATGAAAGCTGTGATTATCAAACTTCTATCAAAAGAGTAGTTCCAATAGTTTATAAAAACTGTCTAGAGGCCGGCAGGTAGTGCGGTAGCTAAGGCACTGAATTCCACATGTCCAACTCCGTGGTTCAAGTTCTGGACCCAGTGACTTGATAAACACTCTGGGCGCATGTGTGTGCATACCCAAAATTCCCTTCTCCTCTTCCACACAGAAGGGACTGCAGTGTGGCCATTTCCCCTGGGGAGTGATTTCTCACTTTCCCTCCCTCTCTCTTTCCAGCAAGCGTCCACACCCTAAGGCAAAATCTAAGACAAGACACAACCGTCTAGAGGCACAGCTGCAGTGGCGCACCAGTAAGACATTGCTGCCCTGCAGAATAAGGGTACAGGAGGCAATGCGTTGATTCCTGGTCTATTCTAAAAAACCAGCTGCAGTCCCTGCTCAGGAGGCTGAGACAGGAGGGTCTCAACAAAGCAAGACCCTGTCTTTAAAAAAAGAGGGGGGTAGACAGTAGATGGCATGGTGGTTAAGGCATTGGACTTCCATATGGCCACCACGGTTCAAGTCCTAAACTTGCAGGTTTACTTTCTCTCTCTTGCTCTGGTGAGCATGCATGACAATATAGCAAATTTAAAAATAACAATAGTCTGACCAGCAGATGGCATAATGGTTACGTCGTTGGACTCTCACGTAATCAACTGCAGTTTGAGTACCGGACCTGGTGGCTTGAAACTCAAGCTGTGTGC